TTAGTGTACTTCTTCTCAGTAAAAAAGATTTTGTTCGTTTATCGCCAATTCTCTTACTGGACTATAGAGATTACGTTAGGTTATGATTATTTCATACTGATTATGTTGTCTTTCGAATGTTTGAATGCTTTTCTGAGTGACAAGGAAGTGTTCAATAACAGGAAGAAAGAAATTTGTGGTTAGTTGATCGATATTTGCTTATATTATAATTGGCACAAGGGGGCAACAGAGCAGTTGGAGGGGCCACAATAATAGGTTCAAAATTAATTTCAATGAAACTTCGTTTGTATACTTTACCCTTGAAAGAAAATTCTATGTCCATCTCCATTTCATACTATAAATACAACTGGAATGATGAACACGGGGGCCATGAGTGAAAAAACCGTCCGCAAAGGAACCACGAGTCAAAAAAGGTTGGGAACCACTGTTATAAAGCGTTCGATACTTTCGTTTTTGTTTAATCAAAGAATGATTGGCGGTGACTGCGTGATGGTCGTGAGAGTTGCGTCGATTCCTGCATCGAAAAAATAGTGGTAAATTTACTCGATTTACGCTTGCAATTGAGATCCAATCCATGTTGTAAATTATCACGATGCGCTTAGACTATATTGTGACGTTGTTTGTTGGTCTGCCAGATTATTATAAATATAAAAGAAAGTATTGATTATATCGACTCTGATGACTGTTAAAGTTTATTACCTGTCCAAATTCTCGTATTCTGATCTCCAGGTGATTCTTCTCCGAGGACTAATTTAACTCATTATACTTGATTGCACAGTGAGAGTAGTAAGGGGTAAATTAAGTAATTATAACTCATTGTGGAGGTATGCTGATAAATTGGTGTTCTCAGTAAAGCTTTTGTCCAGTGTACAAAGTTTCTACTGGATTTCGTGGAATTTTTTAGTGATTGTACAGTTGTCGGTTTGCATGAAATTTTTGTGATATGAAAAATCCTAATTCTGGCAGTTTATTCGAAAAAAACTAGTGTATTTTACATATTATGATAATTTTTAAATAAAAGTTGTCTTAGAGCACGGATATGATTCCTAATTCAATAAGAGAGTTGCAAACGATCACTGAAGCGCCATCACCTCAATATAAGTTTATTTTTGCGACAGGAATGGCAATAGACAACAGTTGAAACGTTACTTAAAATAGTTCAACACATTCAATAGCGCAGTTAATTGGTAGGGAAATTAGCGAAAAAAAATCAGAATAGAAATTTCCGTTTATAAATAGAAACTCGTGCTAATTATCGATTTGCGCAAAGAGCACTCAAGATAATTATGAGTCGGGTAGAGAGTTTATCCTGCTTTCTCATTTTGGGCAATGGACGAAATATATCAAACGACTGTCGGATAGAATTTTAGTTTTTGTCTAGCTCAGAGAAACCCACCGTCGTTCACTCTGGTCGAAATGTTGAGACGCTGGTACGTGGCCAACGTTGAATAATTTTACACCAAAACAACTACTTTGCTAGATGTGGAATAGTGTAGATGTGTCGAACGTGTATTGTTTTTTCAAGTATTGGAATGAGTTACTGACATTTTACAGTTGAACAATGTGAAAACCCAAGTAAACTTCCATCAGTAAGCTGATATTTATCTTTATGGTTCTGCTTCTTGGCCAAATAAATATCAGTCTAAACTAAAGTGTGCTCTAATCTCAAAAGTACTTGAAAATGACCCAAACTTACTGCGCTTTTATAAATGTGATGTTAAAAAGGTCTTTTAGAGCATCAAATCAGTTTAACGACTTGCAATTCCAATATTGATCATCGATTTTAATTAATTGACGCAATTGGTTTTCGTGTTTTTCATTAACATTGACACTTATTTTTTTGAATTAGTATAACTTTTAATGGGTACGGCAAAGCATGACTCAGAAAGAATCGTTATTAAGCAATACGGGACGTGTGAATGAACTGGTATGTCGGTGTAACTGCGGAGTATCAGTATGACGTAACGCATGTAGAGCAATACACACCATGCAGCTCCGTCGCCGATGTATGCACACTGAAAATATGTGTGATTTGTTTTCTTTTTTGTTCATATTTTGCTATCTTCTCCAATATTCGAATTTGGTGAGGTTTGACTATAGGCTTAAATCGGAGGCTTACGTGCTCCTATTATTGATGACTATGTAGACTGTAGAGCGTATAGTCCAGATAGTTGGCAGCCGAATGTGACTGCGCGGAAGGTGATTTAGATTTAATGGATGTCAAACTAAATATCAGTTCTTTGCACGATGTTAAATAATTTTTGGTATTCCAATACGTTTTAGACAACCGGTGTGTATCAAATAGACTATCCTATGTGTAGTTGTAAGTTTTGAGAGCTTCTGAGGGAAGATCTTGGTTGATTTTGAAAAATGACGGACATGACTCTGAACGTCAGTACAGCTTTGTGACGAATTATTTATCACCGTTATATTGCGCATTTGAAATAAACAAAATAGTAAAAGTGTGCTTGATTAAAAACGACCGTTTTGTACCTATAAGTTATGAAATGATCTTTATGACATTGAGGACATTCTTTTTTATTACTGGAAGACTGTGTTGGGGAATATCAAATAAAGATTTCGACATAATTTATCACGTACCAATATAACCAATAAAATTTATATATGCTATCTTTCTGTCCCTAAGGCCTGAGGATGAAAAAATATTTGAAAGCGAATTAAATAGAAGTAATATATTTGATTTTGTTTTAATTTGTGTAATATTGTGTTTCTTTATTCCAAAAGCACAGGTGTTTTGATCGATATTTTTCCAGTGGCAATGTCAAAAATGTCTGTGGTCATTGTATGGCGGCGAGCTTCTTCTAATAACTAATTATTTGGAGTTTTAATGAAACACTGTCTATTTAAATCAAACTTTGAATTCATAAAATATCATTTTGACTCGGCTATATCCGATTCCGCATTTTAAATTGGATATTGGATTTTGGATATCCCTGATAAGCTAAGACAGCTTAATAGTCAACAATAATTAAATCGTATAATAGCATAAACTGTTAAACTTTTGTAATCGTGTTTTACTAAAGCACTTCTCAAATTCATCAACTGTTCCTAATCATATATATCTATATTCCAGGCATATGTTATAAATTGATTACAAATATAAATTTGATTCCATGTCTATGTAAGGGTATATATAGTGTATGTTAGATAAAAAAGAAAGAAAATGTTCGTAAATTTCACTTAATGTTTTATAGTAAAATAATTTTAGATTTGGCATCGTCTAACACCCACTCAGTGCTTATGACCAAAATACCACGAGATAAACTTCACCTTAGGTTTGAAAGCAGGAGAAGAGTTCAATGAGAAGTGATCGACCTCAATGGCGATCCATCTTATATTAATTTCGTCAAGAATTTTGATTGGGTATAACAATGGTCATTTCCCATCTCTAATAGATAACGTAATTCTTAAATATGGAGCATTCCGACTAATTTGTCATCTGCTGAAAAACAAATGCCACATATCTACTGTGAATGACAAATGGGGATTTAAAAATCATTAACGTGAAATTTGAGCCATTAGGCTCTACACTAGCATGAAGAGATTGTGTGCACAAGTCTAATTTGTCTCATCTCCATAGCATTTAAAAACATAAATATACGCCAAACCAAAAAATCGTACTAGCTTAAAACCTCAGTTTTTTTGTAGACAAGAAACAGACGACATTACGTTTCCGAAGGTTTTTAACCTTCATTCTATCGTGACCGCATTATCTTTAGATCAAATAGGGTTCAACGCTTCAATGAACGTTAATAGGGTCAGCTAAGATTCAACCCCGATGATTGAACAGCATATTAAACTACAATATTAAGACATTACTCCATTATTGATTGATCTTCTCATGTGCTGAAATGGGAAAAAATCAATGAATATTGTACGTTATTTACATTTATAATTATTGACAATCCAGTAAAGCTATTACTTTTCATTTGGTGTAATTAACAACTCCTCAAGTAATCTCTTATTTTCCCCTTCTTCTCTCTCTCTCTTCATCATAAATATGAAAAATAAAAGACGAACTTGGTTAGCGAACTTATTGTCAGTTTTGCATTTATCAACAAGATTGAAAGCTTCACGGTAGCCTTGAATCTTCATTATCAAAACCTATCGTTTAATACTTTCTTATTACTTATATATAACGATGTGACGTACAGAGAATTTTTAACACGGTGACTAACCATGCTTGAATGTCACTGGAAAACGCTTGCTTTGACGTGACTACATAATTTCACGTTAAAAATATAGTACTTTGCAAACACAACGCAGCTTTTTAACCTATTTTTGTAGGTATTTATACTTTGCGAATATTAACAATGATAAAGTCAAGGGGTACTTATATGGATAAAGTGGTCAAACGACTGTCACTGGAAAATTCCTAAATCCAAAAATTATAAACAAGCAAAATAGTCAAAAACTCATTTGAAGTTATGCAACAGGCAGTTAGCTAAGTATGGTGCTTTTACATTACAGTATTAGAAAAATAAAGCATCATAATTTTTTGAGCCCATTGTTCTTTATCGTCGCTGTAAGTTAAAAATATATAATTTAACATATGAAATATATATACATATATATAATTGTATAACAACTGTTCGACATAAAATTTCTGTATATTATTCCTATGCACAATAATTATTCACTCGTTATATGGGGACGTTAAAGCATAATCCCTATTGCTTCAATTCGTGGTTGCAACTTGCAATATTTCGTTTTCTGAATCTCTTAATTTAGATACACTTATTGCAAATTTGATAGAACAAATCAACAAAGTGATTTTCTGCTTTTGACAAGGCCAGTGTAAATCGGTGTAATGAAGTTTTTATTCTTCTCCAAATGAAAGTTACATGTAATATTAAATTTAATAATGTCTTTCTCCCCAGCAGCTCACGATTGGAAATTTTTTTTTAATTAAATAAATAAACAATTTCTTAAATATGATTTGCATTATACAGTGTGCCTGTCTTATGTATAAACATTTATTCATTATATTCATGTTATAGTGTAGATAATGACAAATAAATTTGCAATTAACGTCGACAACAACTATGAATACAACAGCTGGACTAAATTCAATAAAAAATATCTCGAACTCTGACGGCCGCCAAATTGCGGATAAACTATTTGAGAAGATTTCATCTGAAATATGGGAAGTTATTCTACAGCAGTTTGATGGTCTCAAAACCACTCAAACGTTACCGACAACAATGCCCGAATTCGGCGGACTAGCGGCTATTGCAAAAAATGATTTTTTTATACCGACATCATCCGCACCTTTAATAAGGATTCCAGGTTATCCAGCAAATTATAATTCCGATAAATGCAGGACTCTGGATTATTTCGAGGATCATTTCCATCAATGCGAAAAACCAGGGACAGTCGTTTTGTTTGGAACTTTTGTAGCCATCCTGGGACTCTCTGCGATTTTTGGAAACTGTCTTCTTCCGTTCGTTCTTTGGCAATACAGGGATATGCGCACGAAACATAATTATATAAAAGGTGAATTTTCCAACTTATCGAGTCGTATTTATCGTGTTTTTTCTTCACGTAATATTATCAAATGGAGTTTCTCATCCTAGATTCAGAAACTATAAGATCGTTTTATATTAAGCAAGGCGCTCATATATATAGGCTTTTACCATAATTTCCAAATTGTACTAATATTTTATGATCTTTTCATCATTATTTTTTTTTTTTCAATATATTTCATTTTATTTGATTTTATATTCTAATATATATATTTAAATTTATATTTATTGCGCTATTGGTAAATATTGCAATTTATCTTTACGCTAGTAAATTATTATGGCCTATATGCGAAAAAACAGTATGAATCACGAAATAACCAGACGTGAAACCCGAAATTTCCCGACATAAGTAAACAACAGACAGTCACAATTATCAATATCAGAACGCATGACAAAAATAAATAAAGATTTCTTGTACCAAAAAGTCTCGTTCAGTTATACGACTAGAAATTTATGATATATATTTGAAGTTACATTGAATTTCACGTTTTCACCGAACGAATACGTTCTATAACTTCATTATTATTAATTACTTAAATATTAAATTTACTTAAAGATTTCACAGCCGAAATGAAGCACTTTGTAATATGATGTTGACATGTTCATAGCAATATGACTGCGACTTAAATGAAGCACATGAGTTTTGACATTCTGCCAAAAATATTTCTGAGCCTCCAAAAACGAAAAAAAGTAAGAGCTTTCAATCCCGTTACACTTTGGAAAAAGTCAAAATAAAACAAAAATGTAATCATCAATACCGATCCAAGTCTAGTCTACCATAGGTCATGGGTTTCCGCACCATCTCTATATGCGTAAAAAGGTTTAACTAATCGCCAAAGCATAATCCATCACTAAATGCCTCAACCTTTATTTAAATGCCAAAAAGCTTATTTAATCGTCAAATGCATTAACTTACCTCATTGCAACTGCCTTACTTAATTGCCAAAAGGTATATTTAGTCGCTAAATGCCTTACCTTATTTATCGCTAAATGCTTACTTCACAATGGAAGGCATTGAGCTTACACGGGTTTTGCATTATACGCGCCTGGAAAATTCATTTTGTTCATTTCTGTTTATTCAATATTCCACAATTTTACTAGACCTCTGTTCTCATATGCAGATGGACATCTTCGTAAATCAGGAACAAGTTTCTCTTATTGGCCAATGCAATAAAGTTCAAAATTTATATAACTGCATTGCATTATAAAAATAAAAATGGAGACGGAGACAAATAACAATAACAACAAAATTTTGAAACGATCGTTATGGCCACTAAACGTGTCCAAAAAAGTAGGTATGGCGCCAATAAAAAATCGCTGGTGGTTATTTGTTGGTTTCAAAATGACTCACTTGGGTAGGTAAGTTTGCGTGTTCAACGATTAAGAATGGGAATATAATCACCCCCGTTAAGTAGACAAATCTGTAACTTTTTGAAGAAACTGTACTAAACATACTTCATCGTATAGTGCGATACCTCCGTAATGATTAAATTCCTTTTCTTTTGCATCAATTTGGAGCAACCCGAAACAAATCATCAATTACTAACCTTACGAAATTTAACTATGTGTTATAATTTATTTTTAGTTTCTCTGGCTGTCAACGACATGATAGTCGGTTTCATTTTGCTCTTTTCCGTTCTACCAAATGTCGTATGGTTTCGGAATTCTTCCGAAAACGAAGTTGTTCAAGAAATGCTCCATACTTTCAACTCACCAACTGCAATTGTTGCTGGATCTTCGTTAATCATCTCATTGCAGGTCTATTTTATTATATGTATATATATATTAGAGCTCGACCGATATATCGGCCAACCGAGCCGCTAATCTTTCAAGTAGAAAGTAAAAGTCATTGTGGATTTTATAAATTTGTGTGTCTCCAACACTGGCCAAATGATAAAACTGGCACAGTATTTGGAAAACACAATTCAAGTACGTCTCGCTTTTTGGTGTACAAAGCGACGACTTTATCAATTACACAAGTCGAAAACCATCATATAATTCCTCTTCTGGCGAATATCAAACCAATCATTTCAAATGATAAAAAAACGAGAATATCGGTCAGAGACCGAAGACTTATCGATTGAAAGTTAGGGGATCCCCCAAAACAGCGCTCTTACTCCATAGTGTCACCTTGTGTCCCATCACTAATTAATTGATAACTCGCTAATTATACGACATAATTTGCCCAAAATCAATAGGCTATCTGGAGCAGATTCAATCTCGCTTACGTGAGATATCGCGTGCATCTAACAGACAAACAAACAGACAGACAGACAAATAGCCTACCTATCAACATACTTACCGATTAAAAGTAACAAGACAGATATGCTCAAATATATGGACACTTAGAATAAAACGAAATATATTATCATCACTTCACCGAAAATCATAGGGGTACCCTACGCCTTCGGTACGGTATCCTGCACGAATCTGAACAGTGAAACACCTACATGGCTTTGGTAATTGACTTACTGGTACTTGGGTACAAATAACGGTACAGGAACTGTCATAGCTTTTCCATGTCCTGTGGTAAGGATTTATGTTGTTTACATCAGAACTGTGACATGAAGATGAGAGCGTAACTCACAGAGGTACCGTACAGTACCTTACCAGTACCTGTTGCTGTACTGTCAGCCTTCTTCTATGGCATATAAAAACTCAATACAATTTGCTTTTATCAAAATTAACATATACGGTAGGCTAGATTTGCTAGAAAACCTACATTTGACATTACCGCAATAGTAAGATCGCGAAAGGAATAAGTCAATTTCACTGTGGTACAGTAACTGAGCAGTACCGTACCTGTAGGCACGATCACACAACCGCTTGAAATAAGTTTAAAACAGTATTCCCATGAGTAAATGTTAGAACAGCGAAAGTTAGACTGAAATATAAGATCTCATAGGATTCATAGAAAATTTAGGAATAAATAAAAGTAATAGCCTTCTGGAAAAAAAATCAACTTTTAACCACTGAAACTTTCGAAGCAATTGGTCCAGTATTCGAAGAGAATAGCGTTTTTTTTTTTAATAATTATGGTGACGAAGAAAAATACCAACAACATAATATTGAAACGGTCGTTATGTCCACTGAAGTGTCCAAAAACGCTGAATGTCCGTTTAGTAGGTTCACTTAATAACGAGGCCATGTCTGACGAGTATGATATAAATATTGAATAATTATAGTTACGAAACACAGGTCTATAGTCAAACATACTACGATCTGCGCCTGACTTGTCAAATAAATAGGGAACCTGTTACCTGACACTTTTAGGATTAAATGTTTTTTTATCACCACCCAGACAATATAAGAAGAACATTAGTCGTACTTTGTGCTTAAATTAGCAAACCCAAATTGCAACTTAGACAAGTCTCATTTATTACGCAAATCCTCTTATATTTAGAGGTCACAGAGACCATTATGTATTACCATATGAACAATATTTTATGGGATTGTTCGCAAGTGTTTCATCATCGTTACATACATCCGCACTAATTGGCGTACAAGACTGAAATTCTCTTGATTTGCAAATACAATTACATTTAGTTGGTGAATTGTTAAAGGAATGACAGCTCAAAAATAAGGGGTGGAAGGCTGTTCGAAATTTTAGGGTAGTAGGAAAATCAATGTTTCATGAAGTTTTCAAACTCATAGTAAGTTGATACAAAACAAAATAGTTAATGTAACCTTCACCACAGATAAGATAAGTCTTGAGCGGAAATGAGAAAACTCTACAAAATTTCTGCCATCTTTACCAATGAACGAACTCTACTGATACCATACTCGACCCTTAATTTGTATTTCACTGTCTTTTTTAATATATATGTAACGTTCCCTGCTTTTCTGCATTTATTCCTCCTCTATGAGCACTCGACTTTTTTTCAATATATTCTGTACAGGGTTCATTGCTACATCTAATGTTTCTCAGTGCTGATAGATTTGTTGCAATCAGGTGGCCAATGTGGCATCGGCACCGTCAAACATCAACGGTATTATGGACGTTGCTGGGTATATGGCTTGTCACTATTCTTGGGTCCGCAATCACAGGTAAGTCAATACATGTCCGTCTGTGTTTATTATTATGTCAATGGTAGATATATTTTGTTAAAGTATCATTTCATTTTATTTGTGAAGAAATATTCATATTTCAGGAGCAATACCACAATATTTCAACTACATGTACAATCCCCAAGTATTTATGTTCACATTGGGATATGCGGGTTCAAATGTGGAATCACGGGCTCATGGACTTTTGCATTTTGGATTAGCACTTTTCTTGCCATACGTTGTCACGGTGAGTTGTATTACATATTTCTGGATCATGAGGCATCCAATTATATACATTCGATGAGACATTCAGCGTATAGCTAGAACCAATCAATTTTTCTACTGTATTAACCCACTTTTGTTTCATACCTTTTCCTATTTTTCGTCAACTATAACCCAAAGCGCCGTTCCTCGTCTTATATATCATTCCTCTGTTTCTGTTCATATTTGATGTTTGTACCAGCTCATTATCCGTTTTGATCTGACCACATGGTTGTTTATTAACTTTCAAATTCATTACAGATCATTTTAACAATGCTTACTGGTGCTGCAGCTTTCAGAGGTTTAAAGTCATTTTCGACCATGAACGAGTCACAAAGACCATCTATATCAGAAAATGGTCGTACGGAATTGCCGTGAGTAAAAAAGAAAACCATACTAAAAGCAGTAAAAATTTTCATAAAACCGTAATACATTTTTTCAAAAGAGATTCTGGTTTAATGAAGATGTAATTTCAAAGTTGTTTCGGGCGTTTATTCCAAGCAATTGTGTTTAATTTGTTTCATTAAAAGAGTTTCGTTTATTAAAATGCTTTATTTCAATTTAATAACTAGTATCCCAGTGGAAGTAGTTATATTTCATGGGTTTGTAATCTCAAAAATTATTCTAAATTGGAATATATATGGTTAACTTTAGAGAATGGATTAATTAAAATCCATTTTTTTATTTGTAAAAAAAAATTACCAACATCCATTTCCAGACACGTAAAATATGCAGCAGGATTTATACGACCTAAAAAAGGTTTGATGAGACAAGACACAATCCGCATAACTGGAGACACAAAGAAACCAGAGTTTGCAGTTGTGCAAACAATTATTATAATGGTTGTGGCTTTTGCTTTAGCGTGGAGTAAGTATATATGTGAAATTAAATAGACCACTTAAAAATTGAAATGTCTGGAAAGACCACCGTATATTATTGATCGCCAATTTTGCGAAAATATTTGCAAATATTATTTGGGCAGAAAGTCGTTGTTAAATATCCGGGTGTTTTGAAAAGGTCAGTTATCATTCTTTCTTAAAAACGAATAATCTAATTCACATAAATATTTCAAGATTTTTCGACTAAATAAATGCGATTTATTAAAAAAAATAGTAAGTTTTGTGAAATTGTTTCGTTATCAAATTCATGTTTCTGAGTAATATAAAAAGACAGAAACGGTGTAGCTTCCAAGTATATAAAAAATCTGTTATTCTTTCGCATGTTTTGTATCTAATTTTCAACACACTTTGGCTGGATACATCTGAAATTTACCCTGGTATTTAAATTGATTACTTGGAATTCAACAATATGTATCTGATTTGTGTGAACACATTTTGTAAAATGTCGGTCTCATGTTTAATAAGGTCTAGCAAGGGTTAATGACTATCATTTATAGCATGTAGCTTAACATGGATTGTTTACAACGATTATTTTTCAGGTTTATTTTTTGTTATCTTCTTCATTTCATATAACAACGAACCCAAAAACGAGAGAGCAACTTCTGTTGTATATATGGTTTCATTTTACTCCGGTTTGTCGAACAGGTAAATATTGTTGATGTAAATGTAATCAAAGCAGCAAACGTAGATCCTATATACTAATGACATGATTGGCCCTACATCGATTTATGCGGAGTTTAAATTTGACAAAATTATTGAACAGTAACTGTTAGTTTTACAATACATATTAAATGTGAAATAAGCATTCAACAACTACGTGAATAGGCTTTTGTAACTAGAGATATATAACAGAATATTTCTTTTCACTAATATTACTCTCAGCGTACGTTGGATGAACGTTCGTTCTCTTTTGTTGTTGTTTCAGTGTCGCCAACGTGGTAATCTACAGTGTCCGAGACGACAGATTTCGCTCCGCTGTGGCGTCAACTTTCCGCCATAAAAATATGTCCAGTTATCATAATTCATCTTATGGTTCCAAATGACAAAAAACATTCTTGCAAAGTATTTTGCATTTTATCAAGCAAAGTTCAACGGCATTTCGTATTGGATTATACTTGGAACGATTCTTATGGTAACAAGAAATCAGTCCTTTCAATTGTTGGTGATTGAAGTTTGTTATAACCCCAACAACTCTGAACAGTTTCCAAATTGTATATGCTTATTCCACTAATATATAAATATATTCCAAACTAAAATTTATTTGCATTTTTGTCGTGTGTGAAATTTAAGTAAATCTTATTTTGTCTAATTTAATCAAAATAGCACTGTATTTATTTGAAGATCCTTTTCTTTATGTATGTACAAATGATAATCTCAATGGTATGGGGATATTTTCTCAACTTTCTAAATCATTACGATACTGTATTAAAAAAAAGTAATTTATTAGCCATCAAAAGAAAATAAACGACAGTATGTTAGAAACGTGTAAAATGGATTTGAACAGTACCTTGAACATTGGTCATTTGTAACTGCGATATGCTACATATATTATCGAGGTAGTTTCAACATAAAATAAGCAAATAAAAAATTGAAATGAGGTCTTCGTCGTGACTTGATGCTTGGTGTGTACGAGATATAAATTCGTTCGTGATATGGGGTGTTGTTTTTACCTTCGAGCTGGTATATTGTTGCTATAGCAAATAGATTATATAACATATAAAGCGGAACCTGAGATGCGATTCTAATTTTATTCTGATCCTAAAATGACAAGCAGCAACAAATCTTTTATCACATTACTATGCAATAATTCATTCGGTTATTGAGAAGGGATAAATATCACTAAAGTTACTTTTGACTTAAGCATATTAATTTAATCCAATTGGCTTATCCAGCTCAAACCCATTAGAAAAAAGGTGATGCTATGCGAGATCTCCATTTGTTCGTTGGCCAATAACAGTTTCCAATTTGGAGACATGATCGACAGTGATACACGTAACGCGTTCCTTACATCCAGCCTACTTCGATATTTTGTTTTTGTAGTTGTCAATATTCAAAAAACCCGGTCTAAAAAAAACGATGTTGTGAAAGTAACGATGCCTGTACAGCTACTGTATCTATACATGGGTATTGCTTGATGTTGTGTTTGTCTGGTTTGCTGTTGGGTGATGTTTTTTAGTCGTAGGGTTAGTGGTTAGATTGTATAGGTGTTATTTAGCTCCAGTCCGTTTTTGTATCACCTCACTGCGGACCGGTAGTAATCTTTCGGCGGACCGGCAATGGGCCGCGGACGGTGGTTGCCGACCACTGCATTAGTCTATTCTGTTTAAATGAACGACTAACTGCTGTCACAATACGGTCATTGGACCATTTCCTGATTGTTCAATTAATAGAAGTTGAGATACAAATTAGGTAGTACCATCGAAAATATTTCGGTGCAGTGATCAGTGAGTATGGCCGTATTCGTGGATATTGGTACCACTTCCCCTGAATCGATTCGGGATAATCTAATGAGCAAACTCTGTTCAATATAACAATGGATAAATATTCTATGAAATGCATGTTCGAATTTCATGTAGGAACATAAATCTAAGTCCCGACGAATTTACAGCATACTAAAGTTAGTGAATAGATAATGCTAAGTATTCCATATTGACAACAATTTTCTGCAGATTAGCGTTTTCGATCGCTTTCTCATTATTTAAAGCAAAAATATATAGGTTCATCCAAACAACACAAAGCGATTAGATAACTAGGAAAACGTGATAGAATTTGTAGACGCCAAGCAATATTAAACTTTCCATTCCTCTTCGCATATTCAAGGCCTTATTTTTGCAAGTTGGATCAATATAGGATAATACCAGACAGACAAAACATGATGTTAAATCTATACTTTCTGATTTAAATTCGAAAAAAATACTAAATTATCCATCCCTATGAGTAGATTTTCCAAAAGCGAATTTTGCAAACCAATCGAAATAGCTTGAAAATTTTTGCAAAACTCCGGGTACGAATGAGGCGACGTCATGTTTTTTTTTGGTTCTTTTATTATTATGTATCATTTTGTATTGTTGACAAACTTGGTACTAGATTGTTGTCAGTCAACGCTGGGGTTATATTCCGCAAACCAGACCAATCAACAAACAATCTATGTGTAGTGGTATCTAATCAGTATAGTCGAACCAAATTAATATTAAATAACTTGCAGCCTTCAAATCACAGAGGGTTACAAATTATAGCACGCCGAATTTGTCTGCTATTCGAGGCTTGAAATATCACAAGTGGAACATGAAATCATTCTTTAATGAAATACAATCAAAATAAAATAATAAACTATCACTGTTAAAACAATTACAAAGGCAGACTTATTCTCATAAAAATATCCTTAAAGTAGGCTTGTACGGAACAACCCCAATCAACATTATTTAATCGTACCTAGCGCGCAACAATACAATACAATCCTAAGACACGATCACACAACCGCTTGAAATAAGTTTAAAACAGTATTCCCATGAGTAAATGTTAGAACAGCGAAATTTAGACTGAAATATAAGATCTCATAGGATTCATAGAAAATTTAGGGATAAATAAAAGTAATAGCCTTCCGGAAAAAAAATCAACTTTTAACCACTGAAACTTTCGAAGCAATTGGTCCAGTATTCGAAGAGAAAAGCGTTTTTTTTAATAATGATGGTGACGAAGAAAAATACCAACAACATAATATTGAAACGGTCGTTATGTCCACTGAAGTGTCCAAAAACGCTGAATGTCCGCTTAGTAGGTTCACTTAATAACGAGGCCATGTCTGACGAGTATGATATAAATATTGAATAATTATAGTTACGAAACACAGGTCTATAGTCAAACATACTACGATCTGCGCCTGACTTGTCAAATAAATAGGGAACCTGTTACCTGACACTTTTAGGATTAAATGTTTTTTTATCACCACCCAGACAATATAAGAAGAACATTAGTCGTACTTTGTGCTTAAATTAGCAAACCCAAATTGCAACTTAGACAAGTCTCATTTATTACGCAAATCCTCTTATATTTAGAGGTCACAGAGACCATTATGTATTACCATATGAACAATATTTTATGGGATTGTTCGCAAGTGTTTCATCATCGTTACATACATCCGCACTAATTGGCGTACAAGACTGAAATTCTCTTGATTTGCAAATACAATTACATTTAGTTGGTGAATTGTTAAAGGAATGACAGCTCAAAAATAAGGGGTGGAAGGCTGTTCGAAATTTTAGGGTAGTAGGAAAATCAATGTTTCATGAAGTTTTCAAACTCATAGTAAGTTGATACAAAACAAAATAGTTAATGTAACCTTCACCACAGATAAGATAAGTCTTGAGCGGAAATGAGAAAACTCTACAAAATTTCTGCCATCTTTACCAATGAACGAACTCTACTGATACCATACTCGACCCTTAATTTGTATTTCACTGTCTTTTTTAATATATATGTAACGTTCCCTGCTTTTCTGCATTCATTCCTCCTCTATGAGCACTCGACTTTTTTTCAATATATTCTGTACAGGGTTCATTGCTACATCTAATGTTTCTCAGTGCTGATAGATTTGTTGCAATCAGGTGGCCAATGTGGCATCGGCACCGTCAAACCTCAAGGGTATTATGGACGTTGCTGGGTATATGGCTTGTCACTATTCTTGGGTCCGCAATCACAGGTAAGTCAATACATGTCCGTCTGTGTTTATTATTATGTCAATGGTAGATATATTTTGTTAAAGTATCATTTCATTTTATTTGTGAAGAAATATTCATATTTCAGGAGCAATACCACAATATTTCAACTACATGTACAATCCCCAAGTATTTATGTTCACATTGGGATATGCGGGTTCAAATGTGGAATCACGGGCTCATGGACTTTTGCATTTTGGATTAGCACTTTTCTTGCCATACGTTGTCACGGTGAGTTGTATTACATATTTCTGGATCATGAGGCATCCAATTATATACATTCGATGAGACATTCAGCGTATAGCTAGAACCAATCAATTTTTCTACTGTATTAACCCACTTTTGTTTCATACCTTTTCCTATTTTTCGTCAACTATAACCCAAAGCGCCGTTCCTCGTCTTATATATCATTCCTCTGTTTCTGTTCATATTTGATGTTTGTACCAGCTCATTATCCGTTTTGATCTGACCACATGGTTGTTTATTAACTTTCAAATTCATTACAGATCATTTTAACAATGCTTACTGGTGCTGCAGCTTTCAGAGGTTTAAAGTCATTTTCGACCATGAACGAGTCACAAAGACCATCTATATCAGAAAATGGTCGTACGGAATTGCCGTGAGTAAAAAAGAAAACCATACTAAAAGCAGTAAAAATTTTCATAAAACCGTAATACATTTTTTCAAAAGAGATTCTGGTTTAATGAAGATGTAATTTCAAAGTTGTTTCGGGCGTTTATTCCAAGCAATTGTGTTTAATTTGTTTCATTAAAAGAGTTTCGTTTATTAAAATGCTTTATTTCAATTTAATAACTAGTATCCCAGTGGAAGTAGTTATATTTCATGGGTTTGTAATCTCAAAAATTATTCTAAATTGGAATATATATGGTTAACTTTAGAGAATGGATTAATTAAAATCCATTTTTTTATTTGTAAAAAAAAATTACCAACATCCATTTCCAGACACGTAAAATATGCAGCAGGATTTATACGACCTAAAAAAGGTTTGATGAGACAAGACACAATCCGCATAACTGGAGACACAAAGAAACCAGAGTTTGCAGTTGTGCAAACAATTATTATAATGGTTGTGGCTTTTGCTTTAGCGTGGAGTAAGTATATATGTGAAATTAAATAGACCACTTAAAAATTGAAATGTCTGGAAAGACCACCGTATATTATTGATCGCCAATTTTGCGAAAATATTTGCAAATATTATTTGGGCAGAAAGTCGTTGTTAAATATCCGGGTGTTTTGAAAAGGTCAGTTATCATTCTTTCTTAAAAACGAATAATCTAATTCACATAAATATTTCAAGATTTTTCGACTAAATAAATGCGATTTATTAAAAAAAATAGTAAGTTTTGTGAAATTGTTTCGTTATCAAATTCATGTTTCTGAGTAATATAAAAAGACAGAAACGGTGTAGCTTCCAAGTATATAAAAAATCTGTTATTCTTTCGCATGTTTTGTATCTAATTTTCAACACACTTTGGCTGGATACATCTGAAATTTACCCTGGTATTTAAATTGATTACTTGGAATTCAACAATATGTATCTGATTTGTGTGAACACATTTTGTAAAATGTCGGTCTCATGTTTAATAAGGTCTAGCAAGGGTTAATGACTATCATTTATAGCATGTAGCTTAACATGGATTGTTTACAACGATTATTTTTCAGGTTTATTTTTTGTTATCTTCTTCATTTCATATAACAACGAACCCAAAAACGAGAGAGCAACTTCTGTTGTATATATGGTTTCATTTTACTACGGTTTGTCGAACAGGTAAATATTGTTGATGTAAATGTAATCAAAGCAGCAAACGTAGATCCTATATACTAATGACATGATTGGCCCTACATCGATTTATGCGGAGTTTAAATTTGACAAAATTA